TATATATATATATATATATATATATATATATATGCAAGTAAATCACTGTGGGTGCGCGTGATCCAGGTATATGCTGATAACCACAAGGAAAGAAGAAAACACGAGGTTCCCAAGCGCTTTCGTGTAATTCACATCTTCAGGGGTGAGTACAGCATATATATATATATATATATATATATATATATATATATATATATATATAAATCACACAGGGAAAAGGGAAACAATGGAGAACCTTGGCTCGTTTTAGTCAAGACCTTCCAGAGGCAACTGGGCGTGGGAGCTCCATGTTTTATATAGTTACTGAAGTAACCATATATATATATATATATATATATATATATATATATATATATATATATATATATATATATATCAAGTGTTAGAAATGATATACTGTATTGTATGTATGTTGTGTTGTCAAAGTAAGAGAACCAATTGAGACCCTGCAATTGTGTGTAAATGAGGCAGAAAGTCAGATCAGCAACCTTGGACTTTGTCACAATTTTTGTGATGCCATATGGCAGCAGGGTGTACCGTTAGACAACACATTATCCTTCCAATATCTTCCCAGGTGGTAGTACAGTCCAGTGCCGGATTTTGACCTGTGGAGGCCCATGGGCAGCCTCTTTGTGGAGGCCCCCCTCATTATAACTACCCAAGAGGGTGGGGTGACGAGTGAAGCGAGATTAAACATCTGGGAGTTCCGGGGGGCGCTGTAAGCCCCCCGGGAAAATTTTGAAATTTGAACACTTCTTTGGAGAATTTTGAAGCCATATGCAGTTATATTGAGGAAATTAGAACATATTGTAATATGTGGAGGCCCCCAGATTGTGGAGGCCCCTGGGCAGCTGCCCACTTTGTCCACTCCTGAATCCGGCCTTGGTACAGTCTCACCCGAAAGTTCGTTAACTCTCCTAGCCAGCTATTGCTGCACTGCCTGCTTCAGATATATGAAATTTAGTCTGTTACTTCGAACCTTTAGATTCAATCGTATCGGTTTCATGTTCTGGTTGGTACTTAGACAGTTTCAAAGATCTGAAAAAGGCAGTGCAGTAATAGCTGGCTGGGAGAGTTAACGAACTTTTGGGTGAGACTGAACCTCCGTGTTTGATAGCTGCCTACTACCTTGCTCTGGAGACCATGGAGCCCAAGAAAAAACGAAAAAGAAAGGTGTGGATGAAGGAGTGGCATAAGAAAAAAAAATTCACACATGAGTGCTATGGCTGCTGTTACTAGACTGAAAAACACCGTCACACATGATTGCGCAAGGGTCATGATTGTCGGGAAAATATCAAACCGTGTCGGATACCTTCAATCATTTGCACAAGCCGTCAATCATACACACACACGACGGACGTGCCTGCACAATCACCATGATTGCGCAATCATGACTGACTGTCTATGGGCCTAAGAAGTTAAAGATAATGCGTAGTAGCCTCGCACGCTTCCTTTAACTTTACAAAGAATATTTAAAACGCTTTTGTGTTCCAATTTTTTTTTCAGGGTGGTAAGAATTATTGCAATAACTTTTTTCATTGTTGTTTGTTTAATGTGCAAGTTGCCTAAACTTAATTACATAAGGCATGGAAGACTAGATGTTTGTTATACGAGCGGGGACACACAAAAGAGTATGTCTTCCATGGTTGCAGGAGACAGTTCTGTGTTGAATTTTGTTTTTATCTTTGTCACTTTCTAATAAAGTTATAGTAGATAGCACGCGTGTACAGTATATTATTTTGTCATACTGTCATTATGTTATACATGCAGGCATCCTAGTCCGGGGTGAGCATGATTCCCGCATGTGTCCTTATTACGGGCAACCACAGTAATGGTCAGCCAGTAAGCCACACACTCAGCAGTGTACGGTCGTCACTTGCTTTGGTTTCCAAAACTGACATGACTCATTTTTCTACAGTCGTGTTACTGGTGGAGTGGGTATTACCCCTCCCCTGGACTTCCTGTAGAAGGAAAAATAATGCAAAATATTAAAAAAAATTATCCTAATATGATGACAAAAATATAGCTTATTAGATTTACATGTCAATGCTCGTAAAAGTTGCTAGAATTGTCACCAGATTTAGTGCTGATATCATTGTCAACCTCGTCCCACTTTGAAATACATCCTGCTGACGCTCAAGTCTTGAGTCACATCCCATGTACTCGTACCGGTAGTTGGTGAAAGAGTATGATATATTTGACATTTTGACCTGTTCGTCCGGCCTTCCACTGGATATTGATCGTTCGTTCTTCCGCCTATTCGTGCTTCGTCCGTGTGCCTATCCGTTCGATTGTTCGGTCGTCCGCCCCCAGGGTTTTCAGGTACCACTCAGTACAGTACAATCATGGCACATGTTTGTCCTCTTTTTCAGTTATTAAATTGTGGGACCCTCGAAGGTTCTTGTGGCGTTTATTGCTGCATCCTTTATTGGTAACTTTTTTTTGTATTTTGTAAAACAACTGGTACACAACTGCTTATTTATTCTGTGTATAACGAATCAATTCAGATTTTTCTGGTAAATAGTTTGAACGTTAGTGTTAGTCCCCTTCAACAGTAATACAACATCAGTGACGCCAGTGCCAAGAGGACGCCTCCAGTACACGAAATAAATATTTAGCTCAATAAGACAGTTTGAAAAATATGAAAGTATAATCACGGTAAGCCATTTGACAACACCTGTAAGACTGACTATCTGTATAACGACAATGGAAAGCAACACACAAGATTAGACGAAGCCCCATTATACCAGTATTTGAAATAATTTAAAGGTGGTTGGGGCTATAGGTTAGTGTTAAACTATTCTGATTACAGTTATCATTAGAAATGTATTAGAAGGCAAAAGGGGGAGGTTGAAAGACCGACGAGTAAGTGAAGTATGGGAATAGTGCATGAAATCGCCCGAGCATGACGGTAGCACCTCCATATAGAGGTTTAAAAAGAAATGAAGAAATGACTTACCACAAAATATGATGCGCCACAAAAGGACGCGTCACAAAGAACATGCCACACAACCTCACAAACAACATGAGCTGTGGCAGGAAACCAACTGGAGGCGGGCAGTGAAAGCATTGATACCAAGTATAGTGAGTCATTCATTATTATGTAACTTGATAAAACAACACATTTGGCGTCACAATAAAACAACACATCAGGCGTGACGCAGGTGCAGGTGTTTACAGGTTAACACAGCCCCAAGCCTCTAAGACTAATCAACCAATCAGTCAGAGTACCTTCCACATATCTGAGGGTTAGCGACCAGTCCTCCACTCTAAACGTTTGCGTGCTGTTTTTACCAATCCTTCAAGGTTTTGTATCTCTCCGGGACCCAGTTTTTAATTTCATTCATCTATCACAGTTTCTGCCTTCTCCTGGACCTCGTTACCCCCAACTTTGCCCATTAATATTTCTGTTATCTCCTCATCCCCAATTATATGACCAAAGTATCTTCCTTTTCTTTTTTCTGTACATTTCAAGTATTTCTCTTGAAGTCTTTTACTAATCTTAGTACTTCTTCATTTGTTTTCCTGTCAGTGTAGCTTATTCTTAACATTCGCCTGTAACACCTCTTCTTTCTGGTGTCTGCTGAAAGTGTCCACGCTTCTGACTCATACATCATTCCTCGTCATATAAAGCCCTTCAGCAGCCTTTTTCTCAAATTAATGTCCCTTTTCATTAGGCCTTTTAGATTTTTCTTGTTTTGATTTCTTCCGTACATCTACCATCACAGCAACTGTTACTTTCCAAATACACAAAATTTTCCACTTGCTTAAGTTTCCTGGGCTAAATCAGTATAATCTGAAGTGTGAATGTTTAGGGGTGCAGTTCACCTAGCAGTGGCTGGGTACTTAACTTTACAGTGAATCCACACAAATGTATAGAAAAAAAAAGCTAGTTTACAGTTCACTGTACCCGCAATGCCCCTATCGGGTAGGCAGGTCAATGCTGCCCTTTTACATGAATGGTAGATGTTCCACACTATTTATACAGGCGATGTACGGATATCTCGCTCGATATCTTATCATGGTTTTTCCTTTTATTCATAACCTTGCTTGCAGGATTTTGTTTCTCCAACATTTGTACTACATATTGCTTTAGCTTTCTAGATAAAAGGCAGCAACTGATACGCTGTTTGTTTTTTAATAAAATGTAGAATTGTCAAAATTCGTCTACACTACATGATTATCCCCGTGAGTGCCTTACAGAACCATAGATTACAGTATCTAGCAGAGGTATAGGAACAGGAAGACTAGGGAGATAAAAGACAGATATGGGAGGTAGTACAGTACTGTGTATGGCTGTTGTGTCTCCTGTTGATTCCCTTAGTCCTGATAATATCATTGTCAGACCAGTATTAACCTGATTTTCCTCGCGCATTTCCCCTCCATGTTAAGGCCAGCAGTATTTTTATTTTGCATTTATTTGTTGTGTCTATGGGGTACTAAGTTGTACACTGACTGAGTTGCTTAAGGGGGGAGTGCTGGTATTATACTGTATCCTCTGAATCTGATAAAAGAGTGCGGAGATAACTTACATGTAACTATTATTATGTAATGACGTTCCAGAGAAACTTTTCCCATCTCGAAAAAGGAAATAGACATGAGTACGTATAGTGTTCTGTTATTGAGAAGGACTGGGTATTGGCGACTGTATAAATGCTTGTTGTTATTGATATGTAAATGTGCTGCGAGCAACACGCCGGTGTTTCTAAGATATAAGTCGATATTCAAGACAAAAATAGAAGTATAAGGATTTAAATATATTAATATATGTAACAGATATAAATTATCTCTATACATCACATGGCTAAGTTGTTATGAATTATTGTGATGTTAAGTTATTTTTCATTCATGTAAAACGAGCCTGCCAAAGGTGATGATGGTTTAAGAGGTAAATATTTTATTGGTTATAAGAATTAGGTTGAATTTACTTGATTACCAGAAAAAAACCAAATTATTGTCATTCATTGTGTAACAGTTTTAGTAAAAGTAATTTCTTGCAGGCGTTCGATCTCGGGGAGCGACCCCTGAGCAGCGAGGTGGTGGTGGTGGTGTACGTGGCGGACGTCAATGACCACGCGCCGCAGTTTGACCGACCACTCTACCGGAAGGCCATACCCGAGGACACGCCCCCCGGCACCTCCGTTACACAGGTAAGTGGCCCTAATAACAGATGAGAGAGTCCAGAGCACCCCATGAAACATCAGTCTTACAGGTGAGTGGTCCTACCCTAGCAGCAGGTATGTTTGACGGTTCAAAGCTCACAACCCCGCCTCTCAGGTCAACAGCAGATAGAAAGGATGAGCAAACACCCAAGACTTGGTGCTACAACCACAGAGAAGTTACGTTTTTTTTTCGCTTATCATGAGTCATCGTTATCTTATCAGCTGACATTAAACACGTCCACATATGAATGTTACTTTCTCCAAGAGTGTTAAGTTTCTTCACGCTATCATCGAGTTATTTATTGTTACAGTACATACTTGTCCCTGTTGGCGTGAAGGGTAGTGGGAGTACCTGAGGAAGGTGGTGTTAAGTGTTACTCTTATCTCTTGTGTTATCTTTTTCAAGTGCTCTTGCCACTCGAGTTGGCTATCAAGTTGCTATCTGGACCGGGAGTCACTTTTATCGTGTGCTAATTCCATAAACGTGACATATTATTGTTACGACCCTTCTCCTTCCTTTCACCGCTTACCCAGCTTCCATCACTGGTTACCAGCGGTTAGGGTCGTATGTACAGAAGCAGTAGATATCTCACAAGTGTTGTTGTCGAATTACCACTGGCTGTCCCGCCAGTCTCCGGTAACTTCCCGTCGATCGGTAACAGTGTATAGACAAACAACAGGCAGGTAGATTTCCACCAGGTCACAGAAACACACTTGTGCACTGTAGTCTTCCTTAATAAACAGCAATTCTTCGCAACACTGTTAATGGGGTAATGTCTTCACAGCTTAACTCCACACTTCAAATATATAGTCAGCCCACTACCAGTTTACAATTCCTTAGTCTTCTCACTTTATATTAATCACAACAATTCCACAATACTTGCACAACAACTGTCTTCAGTTGTTCTGCTAGGCTTAGTCTTTACTCTAGGAACAGAGGCGAGTAACTCACTGACTAGGCAGCAGGGCTCCCACTCGTAGCAGCAAGGATTACCTAGATTCTGCTGAATTTTACCAGAGATTTATCAAAATTACCTTAAAACTGAGAGAAATTTCCCTCATGATTACCTTAGTTTTCCGATTGCACAATTAGCATAATTATATTATGATATAAGTATATTTGTTATATCAGGGTAATACTGGAGCCTTCTCTAATCACCACTTGGCAACTGCGCACATCTAGATTTCAAATGAGAGAGGTTTGGATATTAATAAACCATAAATTATATTACATGAATTTTTTTTTATTATTTCACTTACAAATTACAATTTACTTGAAAAGCAAATAATTCACCTTGGCAAAAAAAAAAATCTTTATGAATATGAAAATAAAAAGTACAATAATCCTTTGTTGCTTCAATTAAAAAAATATTCTTCTCATTAATAAAACAATAATCATTTTGGTTATGAAACAATACAGGTCAATTCTTCATTCTTTAAAACTAAACCTCATTAGGAAAATTAAACAATTTTACACGTGATTCAATAATAATTAATGTGTCCATTTCAGTTGCAATAAACAGAGGAAATTTTTATCTTAGAATCAAATTGATAATAGAAAATCTACTCAAACTGCTTTGCTATGAGATTCTTGGCTTCCTCATTTGTAGCGTTGTTTTTTGCTCTTTCTAAGTCTAACTGGAGTTGTCTATCTAAAATTAAGTGATGGATGGTGACTCCTTTCCTTTTAAGACCATTTCTGGTGTGCAGTAAATTCACCAGACTAGTACTTTTCAAGCTACTTCTAATATCTGTTTTAATTCTTCGCAAACGGCTGAAGATTCTTTCTACAGATGCATTGGAGTGTGGCAAGTATAATGCGCAACAAACTACTTTTGCGAGATTGGGGAATTTTGACTCTCCTATTTCATTTTTCAACAATAGATGTATATTTCCAGAATTGAGCAGCATCTTTCTCCTCATTAAATTGACCATCTAAGCTTAACTGTCTTAACTATATGTCTGCAACACGTTTTTCACATATTTTTTTCAAGATAAGGTAGAGTTACAAATATTTCCCCGAGACTGCTAGGTTTTCTGTCTAACGCATTTTGTGGTTTAAAAAGTTCTACCATTTTAAAAGGACCAGTTGTAAACCTTGACCTAATTTGCACCACTAATTCACTTCAAAATGGCTGACAACTGTATTTAAACTTTCTGATTCCCTCAATGTCACTACTAATGGCAGATTGTGAAAGCGTTTCGGTAGCATGAATACCAACATATACTTGCTTAATGGCCACTCTTAGATTGACATTATGAACGTCAATGGCAAAAGGGTCACAATCTCTTACGTGTTTAAGACTGACTAAATCACTCAAATTTCTCCTTCTATTTTGATAAAATCGAATAGCAATTTACCTCAAAATTACTTTAAATGTACCCAAATTAATTTAAACTAAGGTAATTACCTTAAAAGTGAGAGCCCTGCTAGGCAGCCCGCCTTCGCTTATACTGTATATGGTTCAGCAGATGCCTAGAGCATTCTAGCAATGTCCAGACGTGGGAGGTCGGCTCGCGACACGCCTGGAGAGTTCTAGAATGATCCAAGCTTACAATAAGAAGTAAATCAGAACAAAAATGATGCAATACATTCCAGAATATTCTTACATAATTAATACACCAATATCATCAATATACACACGAAAATTTCACTAAATTTGCCCAAATAACTGTGTCTTGGGACAGAAAATAATCAAAACACCTAGTTTACAAAATTATAATACGAAATTATGTCTCGGCATAACTTTATGATAAAAGCCCCATGTCTTCGTCTGTTGTGGTGACGCTGCTTTGTCGTAATTAGTGTTACGGTTATAGTGGCTTGATGGCACCTGTGTCTACAGTATTAACTCCACCCATGACAGGTGGTCTTGCTAGTATGGGGGGAGGTTATCGGGTATTATTGCATTTTCGCACCCCACATTCCTACCCCTTATCTATTATCACATTCGAATAAGACGTCTAATTATAAGATAATTTTCTTCTATTACATTACCATCGCAAATGTATAATAACGGAGATAGCGTATCCAAAATTTTCTCTATTTTCTTTCATTTATCTTCCGCCATTATCGCTGACCTCACCTCCCACACTGCGTGTCTCCTTCATAAATCATCACGGGCATGCGTTCCCGTACACATCACGCGGCCAATCAAAAGCGTTTTTTGGGGGGCAACCAATAAAAATGATTTGTGGTTTAATTCGCGGTATTTTTGGCCCAATCAAATTCGATTTTTATTTTGGGTTTCTCATATTTCCAAATTAAAATTCATTTCTGACCATGGAAGTCTGCGATGATGGGTGTCACTTCATTTATGTGGAGCTGATTGCGAGTTTTGGGGGAAACACGAAGAAACTATTGCATTTTTTGGATCTGATGGTGTTCTCCCGACCTCAGTAAAGTGTCCTAAGTGCAAGAACGAATGTAAATATCGTCAAGACCAACATATGTGGCATTGCGGTAACTCGTCCCTTATCCCAAAGTCAAAGAAGAGACGGCCATTAAGGTGAGAAATAAGTGATTCCATTTCCTCCAATATGTCCTGGAAATCTCACATCCTTAGTATAACTAAAGCTGCCTCTCGAAAGTTGGGAATGCTGTACAGATGCCGCAGCTACTTCACTCCTGAGCAGTTGCTCCAAGTATATTAGGGATTCATTCGTCCTAACTTGGAGTACTGCTCTCATATCTGGGGTGGCTCTTCTTCTGTCCAACTATTAGATAGGGTGGAATCAAAGGCATTTCGTCTTATTAACTCTCATCCTTTAGTCGACAATCTCTCTTCCCTTTCTCTTCGCCGCAGTGTTGCTTCACTCTCTCTCTTTTACAGGTACTTTAACGGGAATGTTCGGTTGATTTGGCATCCTGTGTACCGCCGGCAAGGCCGTGGGTTCGTAACACACGTCTTGCCCGCGGTGCCCACCGTTTCTCTGTGGATGTCGGTCACACCAGAATAACCCGTTATAGTACCTCCTTCTTTCCTCACACAGCCAAACTGTGGAATGCTCTGCCTTCTTTTGTGTTTCCATGCTCTTACAATCTCTCTCACTTTAAAAAGCTGGTTTTCCGGCATCTTCGTGGTGTAGATTAATACAGTATAACCTTTTTTTTTATATTTACAATTTCTTTCCGTTCTTTTTTTTCGCCTCCCCAGGCTCCGTTGTGGGTCGTTTGACCTGTGCCCCCGGGTGGGCTAATTCCCGTAAAAAAAATATATATATATATATATATTGTGAGTCAGTTAGGTTAGGTTAGGTTTTGCTTATGTTTTTCTAGTGTTTTTTTGTGTATTTTGTATTCGCTTAGCCGTTATTTTTTGGGGGGGAAACGCCCCACGAAAAAAGAAAATCGAAAAAAAAACCTGGGCAATTTCCGACGGAAATGAACATAAGAACATAAGAACATAAGAAAGTGGGATACTGCAGGAGGCCGACTGGCCCATACAGGGCAGATCCCTTTCACACCCATCCCAGCACTTCCATGTGCCTATCCAACTTCGTCTTGAAGCTCCCTAGCGTCCCCGATCCTACTATAGCACTCGGTAGCCTATTCCACATATCCACAACTCTATTTCCAAACCAGTGCTTGCCTATATCCTTTCTGAATCGGAATTTATCTAATTTAAAGCCATTTGTTCTAGTTATTTCGTTATTACTGAGCTTCAGAACATCTTCCATTTTACCCTTGTTAATCCCACTTACCCACTTGTACACCTCTGTCATATCTCCCCTAACTCTACGCCTCTCTAATGAATGTAAGCCTAAGCTTTTCAGTCTTTCTTCATATGGAAGGTTTCTAATATTATGGATCATTTTTGTCATTCTTCTTTGTACTCTCTCCAAAGAATCTATGTCCATTCTATAATAAGGACACCAGAACTGAACCGCATAACCCATGTGTGGCCTCACTAATGCTAGGTAAAGTTTCAAGATAACGTCAGCAGTTCTGTTACTCACACTCCTAGATATGAACCCAAGAATCCTGT